CGGCTTGAATTCGAGAAAAAAGATTAAGCTACTTGTGGTGTCTCTTCCTGCCTTTAGGCTTCTTTCCACGTCCCCCTGGCCTCCCCTTTTGGGGAAGCTCAAGGGTTTGGAGCGGTGCCATCAAGGATTTAGTATATTGACGGGCATATGCTCTGGCTGGTGCGTTAAAAGTCAGCTTAAGTTCAGCAAGCACGGCCAACCCTTCGTTGATGTAGATCCGGGCCGTCTTGGACGAGGCCCACCTCCCCTGAACTAGGAGGCGATCTAAGGAGCCATGTCGCCCGAAGTACATAGTGGCCCCTCCTCTTCGAAGGCTGTAGGGACGGAAGTCGTGCCCTTGAAGCTGACATGCCTCTAGTGCATCGTTGAAGGTCTTTCTCCAACTGTGGGCAGTTCCACAGAGTAGCGCTGGAGTCTGGGGAGTTTGCAACCACTGCCATAGTCTCCGGAGAGTTTCTTCCTCTCTAATGGTAACACTTTCGCTTGCTCCTACTCGTTTGCCTCCTTTGGTCATCCCGAGGGAGATGACGGCTGGTGACCTAGGTCCTACCTGAGTGACATGGTTCTTTCGGATCCCCAGCAGCTCCCCGGTACGCAGGAGCCCATGGAAGGGAAGGAGTAGTGAAAGCCCGAAAAGTTTATTTTTAGAGAAGAGCGCGTACCCGACAAGGACGTGCAGTGCTTCCACCGGTAAGGGTGGTGCCCTGTTTGGTATTTCGTTGGTCTGCCAAGTCCTCATCAGTCTCCATGCGCTGGGCAGGTGCCCCCGAAGTGCTGGCTGCTGGTCTTGCACGGACGCAATTGTGTCGCAGGCGAGGGCCCGGCCCTCACCCGTCTCCCACAGAAACTCTATGTACTGCGAGAGGAGGTAGTCCTGTCCTGCTGAATCCCTTGGGAACAGGCGTCCTTCATCTCTCAGGAAGCTTTTGTACTTTTCCAAAGCTTTGTTGTATCGATCTCTAGTCTTACTCTGAACCGCGAGGTTGCGAAGTGGGCCTAAACGTCTCCTCTGCTCCTGCCTCTCTGCTTTACTTCTACCTTCCAGATGCGCTGCCTGCCTTCTCACCATTTCTTACGAACAGGCCGCCTGGACGGCCGATCCGCTGGGTTTTGAGAAGTATGGACATACGCCCATACTCCATGGTTGCCAGAAGCTAGAAGTAAAGCATCTATTCGACAGAGAGTTCTCCTCATCTTCCTGCTGCTGCTTCGTCCACGCGACAAGGAGTGTAGGCACACGAGACTATCGATCATATGAATAAACTTCGAGTGGAAAGTCTTCTGCTTCACGATCCGCCACCTCAGGGTGGTGAGGACGGCCCGCATCTCAAGCACGTTGATATGTTCAGGGCTGCCACGCCAATGCCAACCAGTGATGGTCTTCCACTTCCACAGTGCTGCGGGCAAGCTAGCTCGAAGGCGATGATATCGGAGTGTTTCCTCGGATTGGGCCTGGATCATGATGTCTTCACCCTTCAAGCTAACTAAGTTCAAAAGCTTCTCAACCAGCATGCGGCTTCCAGGGCGGCTCCCCTCTGCAGTAGGAGCCTTCAAGGGAGGTCTCTGCAAAAGGCCAGCTACCGTAGCGCTAGTCCCCGGCGTGGTCAGGTTCACAATTTTTGTGGACTGAGAAAAGGACATAGTCCCAACTGGCCGCCTAGCTGGGCAAGCAACCAAGTCACCACGGTGACGTTCCACGTATTGCCTATCAGCGTCTTGCGCTCGTCCATGTGAGCTTCCGTACCATGGAACTGTTTGCTCATGCACTGAAACGTGTAGTCCCGGGGAAACCCCATGATGACCTCCCTCTCAACTATCTCTGGCAACCTCAAACGACCCCCTGGTTCTTTAACAAGGTTCTTCTGCTGATATTGGTAGGGGGGAAACCTGTATCGATCTTCCTCCCAGGCTTGCCTTTCCTCTTCATCCAGTGAGTCGAGACCTGCAGGTCTCCGGCCAGGATTGTCCCTTGGACGTGAGGTCGTAAAGGTTGGAAGCGGGGCTGGAGAAGTGCGCTGGCACCCCTCCCTCAGGAAGAGCTCTGCTTGCACATGGGCTTGAAGCTCCACTGTCCTGTAGCGACCACTCCCCGACCCAATAGGAGGCTGCATCACTACTCCCCGACCTGGGAGCAGTTCCCAATTGCACCAATAAAGGCGAGGTCGACGGGCCAACGAGACTCCAGCGGCATCGATGGAGACGGGAATATCACCGAACGACTCTGTCATGACCTTCCTGTCGTCCTCATCCATACTCATGACGCTTTCAGCCAAGTAGCGTACCTGCGCCCAGCAAAAATGCAATTGAACCAGCTTGCGGATTCGGGCCACGTGACTGAACAAACAGCTGCGATGATCTCGAAGAGCACCACGGCGATTGGCGTTTAGCCCACTCACTCCTTGGCACGGAGGGCCAGCACCAATGAGGACTACGGCCGCCTGGGAGTAACGGGCTGCCCATGCCCTAACCATCTCATCATCCACCACTTCCACACCGCCATCCACAAACAGGGTGGATGGAAACCGACTCTCAAGGACCCTGCTCGCTTCCTTCTTCACTTCCACACTGATGTGACCAATCACTCCCAAGCCAAGAGTGTCAGCTGCCACTCGCAGTGGCCATTCCTACTGGGGGCCGCAACATGCATCATCCGGTCACCTGGTTGTTACTGCGCCCAAGACGTGCGCAGAGAGCTGGCAAGCTGACCGGCGAGTGTCTCCGATGTTGGTTTGATGAGAACACATCACCAGGCTCAAACAACTCACCACTTCTTAAGCCAGAGGGCTATGACCAAAACCTAGCCGCGCATTATTGCTAGTTCTCACCACCAAAGCAGCGGCAGCCAGCACCGCGCAGGGCCAACGCGAATTTGTTGAAAAACTTCTGCAGAAACCCTGTTCCTGCAAAAACATCCTGAACGCAAACAATCCAGAAAACCCTGCGGGGCCACTAAATCTGCAACCTTCGAGGACCTTCGTGGACCTTCGTGGCCCTTCGTGGGCCTTCATGGGCCTTCGTGGACCTTCGTGGGGCTGGCAAAACCTTCGTGGACCTTCGTGGAAACCTTCGTGGACCTTCATGGCGTCTTGACTAGCGACATAAAGAACCTTCGTGGACCTTCGTGGAAAAGGAAAACCTTCGTGGGGGTTCGTGGGTGGCCCTTGAAACCTTCATGGGTGGATCCGCGCACCTACACTGCAGTCAATCCGCCTAAAAATTTTGTTGAGCGAAAGAAAACCTGAAAAGTTCTGGACCGGAGCATTTTTGATAGAAAATGAATGTTTTGCCCACAAATGTTGACAAACCGGAATCAAACGGCGGTCGTCAAGTAAATGTGCGGTGTTTCTGAAACTCGGAGACTTCCATAATCCAAATCCCTCACTAGGCCAAAATATGTCTCTCATAGTTTCTAGCTTGGTGCCAGGCGCACGACCCCAAACAATAAGACATCAACATTCGCACCACTTCGTTGTGCCAGGAAGAGCACACTTCCGAACTGAACAGGACCCCAGTAGGAATGGCCAACTCGCAGTGCTCCTATCCCGTCGAACAACCCTATCGTGAGTACGGCATTCAAATCTTCCGGATCGGCCAAATCACCACGCACCTTCGCGCTAGCCGCTGCAAGCCCAAAGCCTGTTAGACCTGTGCTGGCCGTGATTCCTCCTCCCGTAGTTGAGGCGTCGCTGGCCGTGACCTCCCCGCTGACCAGGAGGCGGAAGTTCAACTTGGCTAAAGGAACTAAGCAAATGAACCTCGCGATATCGAGCTTGACCCCGTCTGGGATGGTGAACTTGATGAAAGGCGGATATCCCCGAAAGCTTTCAATGAATTGCCAAACGTGATTCAGGCAGCCTAACAGGGGTCGTCTGAACATGCTGATGTACACCAGGCCTCCCGCCACCACTTGGGCTTGCTTCTGACTGCACAAAGTCTCCTGAAGAAGAAGTGAGGCCAAGGCGACATACTTGTAGACTTTCACTGGTTTGGGGTAGGCAACACCAGCCTTTCCATCAATGATTGCTCCTTGCACTTCGGCTTTCAATGCTCTGCAGACCGCCTTCTTGGGGTGACGCGGGATGCCCCACTCTTCATATTCAGCCCTCAATGCCAAGAGGGCTGGGCTCGGCTCCCCTTGCAGGAGCTGAGCGGTCCTGTGGTCCATCTTCTCCAGCAAATCGAAATTGTCAAGGTACACTCTATGCAGGGTTGGCGCTCCAGAGAAAGGCTTGTCTTTACGAATCTCACCTGAACCTTCAAGGGAACCTGGCATCCGTAGTCCAGCTCGTCGTACAATGTTGCGGTGGACATGCTGTGCTAGGCTGACCGAGTTCTTGAACCCCATAGGTAATACCTGAGATGCGAGGTAGTAGGGTCCATTCTGGGTTGGCCACAGATCTCGCGGGAGCACTTTGTTGAACGCCAAGAGCCTTCTCCACTCACCTGGAATCTTGAAAATATAAAAGAAACACCGCACATCTTCAGATGACACGACTAGATCCTCTGTGGGCATGACCTGCAGTGGGCCCATTGTAGCCCAACTCGGTAGAGTCGAGACGTCGCCCTCGAGCGCTCGACATACCAAATTGCATGGTCGTAGATCCATGATCAGGCGGTGAATGGGAATGCCGTTGACCTCTTCGTCCTTGGGCACGCCAAAAAGGCCGTTGAGAACTGGAGCTCCGTCCACCCGGTAGAGCTCGTCCTCGTGGATAGGAGTGCAAACTCCCCGTTCCAACAATCCCTGGCAGACCTCAAACCAGTTGTCATCATGGACCAACACCCTTGGTGGCTTCATGCCCTTCTGCATCTCCCCGGGTAGGAGATAATCGAGGAAGTGGTCAACATAGTGCTTACAACCAAGTTCGCACACTTCTGACAAGTCTACTGACGCTACTTCTGCAGGCATAGCCGGGGCCAGGTTAGCCCAGGAGGTTGGGCGTGCACACAAGACTTCATCACCGCAATAATCGATGGTCTTTAGCTCAAAGAAACTTTTCCAAGAAGTCTCTTCCAATCTTTCGGGCCAACCCATGACCACTTGAGCCTCTTTATGTAACCCCTTAACTACCTGCCCCTGGACTCTTGTAGGATAGAACGTGTTCTCAACCGATTCCCCATAGAAGCTATTCAACGTACAACACATGCCCCTCACGATCACCACTTCTTGCTCAGGCGCCTCCACCATCTTCTTGAGGTAAACCATGCTGGTGGGCAACGGGAAAACGTCGCCCTTGGGCTGGGCCTTGCATCGCAGGTCGAGACCGATCTTCTCACATGTATGAACCAGCATGCTCAACACCCAAGGGACAGCGTCGGCAAAACTATCTCCTGCACTCGGCGGTTTCATGCATTCTTTTTCAAGCGCGACCACGTTCAGTCGTTCGCCCGAAGTCGGCAGGGAAGTAGCCAGAATACCCGGCCTCACGTCTGCCGCAACTGTGCTCCCGGCCTCCACGTCGACATGACGTCCAGTGGCCAGGTCATCTGGAAAACCATCCAGGCTCTTGCCTGGCTCCACCCCCTCGAGCTCCCCTTCAAATGGAGCTCTCTCCTCCGGTGGCTCATAGTCTGTCCTCACCTCTACTTCTCCTCTCTCTTTTCCCATTTCTTCGGATCTTCTTTCTGCTTCCCCTTCTTGCCGCGGCCTTTCGGATCTTTTCCTTTCTTGTTGACGTCGGTGCCGCTCTCGGTCCAGGAACTTGACCTCCATCCATCTCCTTTCCCCTTCGACTGGGAAGCTTCCGACTTGGTTTTGGAGTCCTCCTTTTGTTCTTTGATAGCCTCTCTGGCTTCGCTCCTTGTAGATAACACAGGGCGTTCCGGAGGTAAAACCTCGAGCCTCTGGGCTATTTGCCACGCCGCCCCCTGCGAAACCAGTTCGATCGACTTCAATCTCTGAACCAGACAGTCGGCCGATTCGGCCACTCGACCTTGCAAGATCAGGTCTATGGCAAAGCAAAGAGTCAAAGCTTCCCTCGAAGGTGCACCTTGAAGGCGAGGGGCCATGGCTTGCCAGTAATACTGGATCGAAAGGGGTTGAAGCTCCGAATCCTCCTGATGCCAGATCCCTCCAGTGCTTGTGAGCAAGGCACCCTGCATCTCCTTGAGTGCCTGTGCCGCGAGGAGGCCCGGTGCCTTCTTTGCGACCCGACGGATCTTGTGCTCCTCCGCGAAGACCTCTGTTGACTCCCCGCTGTAGGAGCTTCCCCCGCTGCTTGAGCCGCTGCTGGATGATGACCTCTTCTTCTTCTTGGTCTTCTTCTGTGCCTTGTTGGCGAATCTCTTCCGGAACTTCGGGTCGGGGGAGAGCCCTGTTCCCCCTAGGACATCTTCCAGCTTCTTCTTTGCGCCTCCTCTCAGGTTGATCTTCTCTTTTGAACGTCCTCGACTCCGATCTCGATCGCGGCTTTTTCTCTTTCTCTTCTCTCGCACCTTCTTCTCGGCGGGATCCCTCTCTCTTTCTCGGCCTCGATCTCGACCTCCTCCAGCTACGGCCTCCCCGCCTGGGAGACCAGCCTCGGCCGGGCGAGGCACCGGGTCCACGGCGTCCACCAAGTTGCTCATCCATGGCAGGTCCTCCCCTACTCTCTTGCAGATGCTGCCGCCGTGGAGGAGGTTGTCGGCTTCTAAACGATCCAGACAGGCTCCTCCGCATAGGTGGACCCTCAGTGACTCCTTGGGATTGCCGCCGCTCGCTCACTTCAACAGGTTCTCCTCGTCGGTGCCCTGCAGTTTGAGGGAGGCCTCGATGTCCCTTGGTGCCCGCACATGGAGATCTTGAAGTACCCCTGCGACTGCTGCTTTTGCACCCCAGTAGGTGCCTTCCACTACCACTGCAACCCCCCTCCGGAGGGCCTCCAATGGTATATCTTGGCATTGCAACTTATCTCCCTTCTCAAATCCCTCAGCCAATCGGGGATCACGAACCACTTCTGCTTCTTCTCCTTTCTCCTCTTCTCTTCTCTCCTCAACTTCCGCACGACCTGCAGGTCGCCTCCTCACTTCACCTCCCCGAATAGGAGGTCTGTCCCTACCAGCTCGACGGAGAACCGCTGCTGGCCTTGCTCTCGGTGGCATTGGTATGGCGATCAGGTCAACGACCTCCCTGACCTCCCTGATAATGCCGCTCACGCTTCTTGGCACCCTTGTTCACACCGTAGTAGGCTGGATCGTTCTTCCAGTCCTTGAACGGCCCTCGCCAGAAGTTCCCTGGTGGCCTCTGCTTGGCCTTCGCGACCGGGAGCCTCTTAGGTGGCCTTGGTGGCGACCTTGATGGCGTACGAGGCGGTCGAACGCTGGGCTTCGCTTTCTTCTCCTTCTCAACCTCCGTGTTCTTCTTGGGCGTCTTCCTCTCTGCCTCAGAGGAGGTGGGCCTCCTTCGCCTCCTACCTTCTCTACTTCTCGATCGGCGTGATCTCCTTCTGCTGCGACTCCTTCTCGACGACCTGTTCCTCGAGGAGCGGCGTCCAGACTTCTCTCTTGCCACCTTGGACCCACTCGAGTGCTTTCCTTCCTCTTCCAGGTCAACCAGACCGGGTCGGGATGTGCTCGGGCTTGTCCTCTTCTCTTCCTTCTGCTTGATCCAGCACTTGTCGACCTCTTCTTCCCTCTTGGCTTCAGGAACAACTGTACTCCCCGACTTAGGAGTGGCGGTACCCTCGGCTGTTGTCTGTGCACGCTCCTGCTCACCCAGCCTTTCGAGTTCTTCCTCGAGGATGCTGGTCCAAATCCTCAGATTCTGCAGGCCCCAACCTCGTGCACGCGTGGGCAGCTGGTCAAGGGTCCGCCAAAAACGGTCGCGGCTGCGGCAAAAAGTGCACACAGTGTCAGTCTCCGCGCAAAGGATGCGACAGAGCCGACACGCATGCATACCCTTTGAGCCCAAACACTGTTCAAAAAAGAGTGTCCGTTCAGTCGTCTTAATGTCCGGGGCCGGAAGTACATGTCTGCGAATGAGGGACGGCCAATTTCCTCATGAAAGGTCTATTTGTCGCTGCTACTGGCAGTAAGTCATGCGAGTTCCCACAGGGCCCTGACCGGCAAAGATCGCCAAATGGCTTCAGCATCGCAAGGCGTTGACGACAATGGTAGGCAAGCAAGACTCGGCAAAGAGCGCCAATAGGACAAACATCTACTGTTGAATGATTCAATGAGCATGAGCATGTAACATGTACGACATATTGATTTTTTAAAGTATCATCGTGCATTGCATAAAACCCCCTCAGCCATCCTCAGCCCATGCACCCCAAACAAGAGGTCCATCAGTCCATCGAATACCAAAATACATTATAACTTGTGCAATGTATACCGCTTTGTCAAAGTCTGTGTCTGTTTATATTTTTATCTTTAGTGTTGAATTGAAACGATTGTAATCTATAGTATCCTCTGTGGAATAACCGGTGGGGGTTGAGAACCCCATTTTATAGTGATAAATGACTAAACCAGGCTCTGGGAGCACAATGCACCACTTTTGAATCTAGCTTTCAACCCTTGTAGTGTACAGCATAGTTTCTCTATAGAATAAAGGGAGTCAACCTTTAAGGCACTAATGTAACAGAATTGTAGGCTCAAAATCTGAATTATCCAATAGAAACAGCCAGGGGTGGGCCTCATTCTATAGACAAGTGGGTGTAACATCAAGGCTGACATATTACCTTAGAGGAAAGTTAGGCAGCAATGGCAAAAGAGGTTGGCATTTTATTCTATAGAAACATGATTGAACATTGCAAGGTTGAAATTCATTTTATATTTAAAAAACAATGGACAGAAAACGACACTCCAAAAACAGGATGTGTCTATAGAGGTTGATATTCATAGGGTTGGACACTCACAGGTTGATTTTTTATTTTAAAGAGGTGGGCTGAATTTTGAACAAAAAACATTTTATAGTGGGCCAATATTCACCGGTTATTCCACAGGAAATGTGGGAATGCATGCACCAGATTGCACAAGAATGCGCCGGATATTTCGTGAAATCAGAATCAGAATCCAACCTACCTCACTGTACAGCATCCATCCACTCCTTAAAGTAAACTCTCAACCTTCTACTGTTCCAGGTTCTCTCTATAAAATCAAAATCATGTCCTCTATAAAATGTCCTCAATTGTCATGTATTCTCTATAAAATGAGGGTGATCAACCTCTTGACCCATCAATATATGATTTTCTCACCTCAGAGATCCTCAGAGTGGATCTGTCTTGACATTTGATTCTAGAAAAAACTCTCTATAAAATGCCAGGTCATTTTGGAGCTCGACCTCCCCCATTCTATAGGGGTTATTCGGCAGAGGATTCTAGTAATCTTATGTAATCTTGTCATCTTCAACGCCCCAGAGTGCTATCTCTTGTGGCCATATGATGCCGGGCTGTGCCTACGCAAGACATAGCGGCACAATGGCGCCATGTCGAGCAAATGTCAAATGTTCACGTCGTTGGCCTGAGTTCCTTGCCCGAGCAATGGTAACAGCTGCCGTCTTGAAAGCTCCTGGATTCGTTCGTTCCGATTCTCATGCGAAAGCACCTTAAAAGCCTAAAGCACCACCAATTTTAGGTCCTTTCATATTGTATCGCGATGAAATTCCAAAAATGAAGGTAGGGTGTTGACCTAGTTTTGGGTTTCCATCATTTCGGAAGGTGATGGCCAAGCCGAATTCGACACAAAACTAAAGGTACACGCTACACACTCTGACATTGGTTTTCAGTTGCACTCAGTTCCCACGCTGAGAAGGAAGGTGAAGGAACAGAAAGGCGCATGAGTCAGCAGAACAGTATTGTTGAAAAAGTGTTTCACAAAACGCTCAAGTGAAAGCGATCAGCGGCTCAGCTGCGGTGCAAAAGGTGGAAGAAGAGGTTTGAGGGACGTATCATGAAGAACCATGAATCAAAACGTGGAACAGTAGGGTGACAGCTTGCGAAAACCTCAGCAGGTACACAATGCGGCGTCCCGCATTGCTTCACGACCGATCCATCACTGTCTTCGTTGGGCAGTGAGTGATGGTGGTCCACTGCCCCCCTGCGTGTGGAGCTGCTAGGAAGGTGGTGGTGAAGGTGAACCCTTGGCCCAGGGGTTGACACACACAGATCGCCGTAATCGGCGCTTTTTCCTTTCAAAAACCGGATGCAAGCAATTGAGTCGTGTCCTTTTTGGACGTAGAGCTTCACTAGCTCAGTGGCAGCAGCTTCAGCGCTTGAAGGTGGAAAGGTGTATTTGTGGATAGTGTGAAGTCTGGATTGGAGGCCTGATAGAGCCAAGCGCTGGCTCCCGGCGCTGGTGGCATCCCTGATTTTCCAGGGTTGTAGAGGTTGAATGTAGGTGATGGTACGTTGTTGTAGGTCAATATTGAAACCCAGGAGGTGGAAGCCGTCAACAGGTTCAAGTTCCACTGGGTCTCCAAAGAAGTTGTGATGGATGAGGGTTTGAATGGCTGGGTGGCGGAGAAAGTGTTCGTTGTGGACAATGAATCTGTTTGTCAACGTATCGGTAGTATGCAAAGCGCAGGTCAGTGTGTTGAAGTAAATTGTTGTGGATCTGGTGCCAGGAGTGTTCAATGAGAGTGATGGCGACGTTGCATAGGGCTGGAGAAAGTTGGGATCCAATCCCAGCTCCCCGGATTTGTTTGTATGTGTTATTGCAAGCCCGGAAAATGCAGGTGTTGAGTGCGTAGGCAACAATGGTGGTGATGTTGGAAGTCTGAATTGTACGTTGTGTGGGGTGTTTGTGGTGGTGTCGGCCGATGTGGGAGTGGTGGAAGGGGTTGCCTGTGGCTTGAACATCCACTGTGAGAGTGTGTGTGGATTGCTGTTGTTGCCAGTGGTGAATCATGGAGTGAACTGCGTCGATCAGTCGATGCTGGGGAACCGAGTTGAAGAAGCCCACCAGGTCGTCATTGGTGGCGTAAAGTGATATGTCTGCTGGGGTTTGGGTGAGGTAGCAGTGGAAGTGGCGCCAGAGTTGCGGGATGGAGAGCTGTCCTGGATGCTGTGGGTAGAGGTGTTGGAGAATGATGTCAAGGGCACGGCTGGTGATGCGTAGGAGGTTGCCACTGAGTGAGTGAAAGTACGAGATAATGGTGCTTTTTCTCCTGAGGTGGACCACACCATATGGGATGTTGAAATCCTTGCGGAATCCCCACTTGTAGCGGGTGCGCTGGATGGGCGGAACAGTGGCTTTGAGATGTTCGTGGATGTTTGCGACTGTAAGGTATGGAAGTGGTTCAAAGAGTTCGGGAGATTGCCATGTGCTAAGGGCACCGGTGAAGTATTGGCGGGGGCAGAACAGTCGGAGTTGCTGTAGTTCGTGGTCAGCAAGCATGGTGAAGTACTGTGTGGGGGCCGAGATATTCCTGGATCTGACGGAGCAAGCGAGCTGTAAATCGGGGTTGTTGTTTGAGATGGGTGGTGTGGGGGCGCCATTGGTGCTGGAGGAAAGGTTCCAAATGCTGTGTAAGGGATGGTGGAAGCCCTTGAAGCTTGAGCCATTTTGTGTAGGCCGTTTGGAAAGTGAGGACATAACATGCCTTGCTGGGGTAGTAGGCGCTGCTCATGTTGGCGTTGAGAAAGATGTTGAGGTGAAGTGAGAGGTGTAGCTGGTCCAGTGTAAGAATGTAGTGGCCGTGGGTGGTTGGTGTGTCTGGATCTCGGAGGAGATTACGAAGGTGGTTGCGCGCGCAAAGGGAGGTCTGCTGGATCAGGTGGTGAGTGGAGAGTGTCCTCCCAGATGCGATGGTGCGCTGGGATCGAAGGGTCTTGTGGGCTGCTTCACGTAGGCGATGAGATGGGAGGTGGAGGGGAATGGCCAAATGTTTGTGTTGCTGGATGGTGGTGCAGAGCCACTGTTGGCAGTGTTTGGTAAAGTCGTCGTGCGCCAGGAAAGGCACTGTGAGCGGGATGTTCGGTTTGGGTGGTGTAAGATTACGGAAAAGGAGGGCTTTGTTGATGATGTGGAGAGCTCTGCTGCGGCCTGGTTCTTCGAGATTGGCGGCCATGCGCCTGATGGCGTAGACTTCTAGGTCGGTATGACGGCCGCTGCGCAGTTGTTTTCCTGCTTCAAAGGAGGCTGCTGTATGTTTTGTGAGGTTGCGGAGAAGTGTGAGAGCGTGGTGTTTGGTGGAAGTGTAGAGGTGTGGTTCTTTGAGGGTGTGTTGGCGTTGTCGTAGTCGTCGAAAGAGACGTTTGTGGGTGGCCAACCTGGAGTAAAAGTGTGCTCGATGTTTTGCGAATTGCCATCCTTGAGCTTTAAGTTTGAGGTGGTGCGAGATGAAGGGCCAGTTGAGTGTGGGCATCCAGTTGGCAATGTGATGGTGTTCTTGGATCCAGGCCTGATCGTAAGTGTCGTGGGATGTGAGCTGAATGGTGGTGTAGTGGTGAATGTTGTTGTGGGAATGCCAATAGCGTAAGGAGAGTTCTGCCGAGATTGGGATATTGTTCTGGAGTTGCTTGAGCTTGGCTCGGCGGTTGTGTTCTCTGTGTGGAATGCCAATGGCTGTGGAGCCGACGTAGAAGTGGCCATGCTGGTGGTAACAGCGATGTGGTGGAATGGGGTTGAAGTAGAGTTTGACGTAAACGGAGTTCTGAGAAAGAAAGTTGTGGTAGTGGTAGGTATGTGGAAGAATGTGGAGTTGACGGAAGCGGTTGCGCCACTGTTGAGATCGATGTGTTGTGGATGGATATGCAAAGAGTAGGGTGATGTGAATGAGGCCTGTCGCAAAGATGGCCTCTGCTCGTTCTATGTATTGGGTGTGGTGGATCAAAATGGATAATGTGCGGTGGAGGTGAAAGAGATGTTGCATGGTTGCGTGGCTGGGTTGCTGCTGGCTGAGAATGGCGAGTCAGCAGCGGATGGCTGCGCCTACGCTAACCAGGTGTTGCAAACTGCGGATGGGTAGTCGGTTGACGCGACCAAGAGGGAGGCCATAGCGAGTGGCGGCCTCCTTCAATTGTTGTGTGGTGACTTTGCTTGTTTGGAGTAGGCGTAGGACTTCGTTGGCCGCCTCTTGTACTGTGGGGTCAAAAGTGGTGACCCATTGCTGGATGTCGGTTTGTCCAGCTGTCAGGGATGTCGTCCTTCAGTTGCTTGAGCAGGCTGAAAAGGTCGGTGCGCAGAGGAAGTAAAACATGGAACGTGGTAAAACAGTGCAGCCCGGATGTGAAATCATGGTCAGAGTAACTGTCAAGTTGGCAACCAGCAAGTCAATGGAAGAAAACATGAAATCTGAAATGCACAGTCAAAATGCAGCTGGTGAGATACAGCAAATATCCGGCAGTACACGTCGCAATCGTTTCTTCGTGGTGCGTAGTGAAACAGGTGGAGGCCTCGTTGTGGATGGCTGCAATCCGAAGATTAGTGTAATGGAGAGGGTGTTTCAGTTAAGTTAGAACAAAGTGGTCAGTAGGGAATAAACACATCGACGGATCGAGAGGCTCTTGTGGCCAACGTAAGGCTGCGGCGCGATCAGTGGTTGTCAGCGTGCCAGGGGTCATGTTCTGGGCGGTAGTCCTGCTGGTGAAGTGGCAGGGGGCGCCCCTGCGCATCATAGTCGCCCGATGGAACAGGGTGGCAGACGCTGCGGTGTTCGTGGGTGGTGTCGTGTATTCTGGAGGCAATGTTGCTGGGGGCGGCTGTTGTGGTGGTACTTGGTAGTAGGATGGCACATGCGTGTGGTGGTGGCGGCGAAGCGTGTGGAGGTGCGGAAATAGGCGTTTGGTTGGTAGCTGCACCTTGGAAGACGGGCCATCCTGTTGCTGGAGGGACGGGTTGCAGGGGGTTGTTGGTAGAGGGAGTCTGGGTCTGGTTGCCGAGTGCGGGTGGGGGTGGTCGAACGTGGTGGGGTCTTGGAACGTCTGTGGCGCGGGGCGCCGCCAATATAGGGGACGGAAAATCCTGAGTGTGTTCGGGTTGTGCTGGAGTGGTCACTGTAGGGGTGGGGATAAGGTTGACGTACTGCCAGCGTTCATGGGGTTGCTTGTTGGCTGCAGCAGCTGGGAATGTTGGCCGTGGTGTTTGAAGAGGTTGGTTGCTCCGCGTCTGGGGTGTGGCTGGGATACCCGCGAACGCGGGGTAGTGGACAATGGCATTGATGTCTGTCTGGGCGTGGCGGCTGTGAGTATCTGGTCGTGGGGTGGTCTGTTGTGATTGATGAAAGCTTGGTGCTGTGATGTGGGTGTCCAGAAGGGAGAGCCATGGTGAGGTTGTCTGGGTGGCAGCATCCTGAATGGGAGTATTGCTGCTAGAGGCGGTCGGTGGTGGGTATCGTCGGAGTGGTGTGATGTGGCTGGGTGAATGTGCCTGGGGGTGGATGTGGTGTTGGTCTGGTGTGAAGAAGTTGGGGTCAGTGAAGTAGGCCGCTGGTGGAAAGCGGGCCAGTGTGTCAATGGCGTTGAGGTCAGGGATGGGTGTGGAGGTTGCAGGACATCAGCCAGGACGGGTGGCTTGTGTGCTGGTGGGGTCGGTGGGTGGGGTGCGTGTGGCTGGTGCCCTTAACGGGG